CGGCCGGTGCCGGCCCGGCAGTGACCGTTAAACGGTCGTCGGGGAGCCGCCGGGGAGGCACCGGCGCGTGCTAAGGGGCCTAGGCCTGAGCAACCGGCTCTCCCTCTCCTTCCTCCGCCACCCCCGGCCGCTCACCCCGCCGGTGGTTTTAGGGGCTCTCTGCGTTTTGGGTTTTAGATCAGGTTAAGCGGTAGCGGGATTTGGAGGGAAGAGCTGTTTCTTCATATCCTCCTTGAACGTGAACCTCGGCTTGGAGCAAGACAGGAGCTAGCCCGTTGCACGTGTGGCTTCCGCTAAATTACTCTAGAAATATTAATAAATCTCCATGGTTCATAGCAGAGGTCATATCCATGTTTTATAGTTATTATGATAGTCACGCAAATAAGTACTCAGAAGAAAATCATCCTGGAATAGCTTTGTCAAGGGCGCGCTATGATTATGACAGATATTTTGCTTTCAATAGTATAATATTTTAAAGGGAAGGTTATTAGAAAAGGCATCACTCCGTGTTATTGATACCCACTGTATAAATCTCCTTTTTCAACTATTTAAGTTTTCCAAGGTATTTGGATTCAGCCACTGATTTATTGTCCGCTCAATATGCTGCAGTTCTTTGGAAATGAAAAATGAAACAGCTTTCAAAATTTCTGAGCATTACATTTGATTTCTTTAACTTAAAGTTACACTACTATTAAACCTGTTTTAAGGAGAGACCGATTGTCTCTCCGTTTTGAAACTCTGCAGTTTGTCTTGAGAAAGCTTCATAGAAGTGGACCTGGATTCTGGGCTTCTTTTGTGACTTCTGGTAGATCACTGGCTGTGGCTAACTGTGTAAAATTAGTTCAGTAGACAGGTGGCTGAAGAGCTTGATCCTGCATAATCTTACGTATGTGATTAAGTCTCTGTGTGTGCATGAGTACGACCAGTGGGACAAACTGTGCAAAGCTAAGCAGTTCTCTACGTGACTGTAAAGATCGATATAAGGCACAACAAAAAGCAAGCTGAGAAATCTCCAAATGAAAACCATAGTGGAAATGCAGAATTCTTTGTTCTATCCAGCCACTGAGAAGCAAAACCCATCCTATTCTTGTACGAGGGCAGAGAGAGGGAAGAAGTGGGAAAAATGCAAGCTATCTGAAATCTATATTGTAACAGTTTTAGACCTGCTTACAAACTTGGAGGTCAGGAGCATAAGACCAGGTTCTTCATCTTGTGTTTGTCTGGAGTTGTGCCTGAAACTTGGGGTTGTGGAGGTAGGAGTTGGGATGGTATTTCATCCTCTTTTGTCATATATTTAGTCTGAATTTGGAAGAACAGGATAGAGGAAACAAGTCTCTGGACCTGATTCGGAATCCAGTGCAAATGAGAGACTCCCACAAATTCTAACGTGCTTTGATTCGGACAAATCCAGTTGCAAAATTCCCCCTAGACTTTAGGCTAGCGTGTGATAACATTGGAAAAGCATTGCAGTCTATGTTGGCTTCAGTTGTAATTCAAAGCACTGGCTTTAACCTGCGAAATCTTCAGTATTTTGGAGTGGCTAGTTTGAGACATCATGTCTTTTCTCTGTCACATTGCCATATATGAGATCACCAGAGACACTCAGAGCTGGCAAGTGCTCAGCTTGAACCAGCTGTCTGCTGAGAACCTTTCTCTATGAGGGTTTTAGTATTTGGAATTAACCCCTCGTCTTGGTCTCTTTGCGCCCCACTCAAGATTTTCATCAGATTTTCATCAGATTTTCATCCAATTTACAAAGCCTGCTGAGAAAGTTGTGAGCGGAGATGGGCGTATTTATAGTATTTTGTACATATTTTGTGAGCTTTTTCCACTGCTATTTTTTAATTACGAGTATAAGTACCTGTTGTGTTAGCTGCGCTAACCTTCAGTCATAATGGAAGAAAGATAGAAGAAAGCAAATATTAGTGCAAAAAGGACTTGTCTTTTAGTCAGATCAGGAATATTAGATCTCTGGATCTATTTTAAGCGGTAACAGCTATAATCTGTGTGGGAAATAGTCCGTCACATTTATAGTACATATAGAGATATGTATAATGCAGGCATTAGAATTCCTGAATTCTTAAACAAAAATTCTAATTGTACAGGCCCCGAAATACCACATGTGCAAATAGCTGTATAGCATATATGAATTACTTTATGGTTTTTTGGTCGCTTTACATGAATTGAAAGAAAGAATCCACTGACTCTCAGGAATCCACTTACCACAGCTTGACAGCAAATATAGATTATTGTAGATGCTGTTAAGGAAGAAAAGAGGAAGATTTTCCAGTTAGCTCGCAAATGTCAGGGTCATGATCCTATTCATGATTTAAAAAAGAGCAAGAGAGTGCTTTGCTGATAAAAGTGGTGATATTTTATTGCTTTTTTAATTAGCGATAGTTTAAAAGCTATAAAAATAGTTAAGATCCCCCCCCCATTTCTTTCTATTTACTTCAGTTGTACCTTCAGCTGTCAAAGTTCTGGTGTGGTGAAAACATAATTTCGCATGTGTATCTTGCATTCACAAAAGAAGCAGCTGAATTCCTTACATATATATAAGGAATACATATATGCATATGCATATATGTATACCATATGGTATACATTCATATGGTATACATATTCCATACCTATATCCCTTACTCACCAGCTTGGTTTCTTAAGGTTTTCTTAAATTATGCTAACAGCAGGCAAACATAATGTTGCTTGTTAATAATTAAGGCTTTATGAATTTTAAAACAAAAGTCTTTGTGATTATTTTGAATGTACTATTTTGGGTTTAATAGCTTTTTAGCATTTAAATATAACTTAAAACTGCTTTTTGAGGAATGTAAGTAAACAGTCTCCTTGGGAGTTGTTAATCCAAACAGTTGCAATTCTTTGTTAATGTGTGATGAGCAGAGGTAGGGAATAAAATGATTAATCTACCTCCTTTCCACTTAGCAGAGTGGAGCGTAGGAAGTAAGCATAAGGTATAAATGACTTAGAAAAATGACGAAAACTGTTTTTATATTCAAAGCAGTACATGGACAACCAATTAATATTTTAAATTCCAGTGTGGTTGATTGGGGTTAAAGAGCTAAGTTTGACCATCCGAGAGTTGCTATGCTGCCAGATGCCCAAACGTTAAGATGCAAAGTGTTGTATTCGAGATGCAAAATCTCCTGTTCTTGCAATCCCTGAAGATGCATTGAATCTCTTGCCAAAGAGAAACCCTCATGCTAAGGTGGCCACACTCTTTTTGAACATTTACTTCTTTACTCCCACTTGTTAAAGGCGGCATTTTTATTCACTTCTCTTCTTATTCAAAGCTTTAGCTGCTCCTGTTCATTGTTAAATATTTGCCATTCTCCATACAAGAGGTGACTGCATCTGGATGATGCTGAAGTGCCCCTGTACATAACCTGCTTACTGGCTCATTAAGCTTGGAAAGCGTTTGGGTTTTTTCAGTACACAAACCATTCCATTCAGGTAGGGTTGTCTGTTCCCTAGTGTTTCCTGTTTGCGTTTAGCAAGACAAAAAGCAGGTGAGAGCATGCCCCAGAGCTGCTGCTGCTGCTGCGCACATGCACAGTTTCCTCTGCTGAGCTGGCTCAAGGAGCCACAGAAGGTGTGGGCTGCTCCTTGTTTGTTTGTTTAGCCTGGTTTCTTAAGGAAGTAAATCTTGTGATGCTGTAGGAGTTCTCTCCCTTCTCTTTCCTCCTCAAGTATTTTTTAAATTCTCTAGCCAATTTCAGGCAAGTTTTGCCAGTAGGACTGAGTTTTAAAGATATTAGTTTCAAAGGAATTTTGTGAAAATAGGTGGTGTTAAAGAGGGAGACTCTATACGTGTCCTAAAATAGAAAGAGGGGCTATGTCGTTCTCTCACCCTTTGTTAAGGGTCAGAAAACCTGGACTGAAGAAAACCTGCCTCGTAATACCCTGGCATGGGGAAAACTTCAATGAACACATACACAGCTATGAGACACAAATTTGTGGAAAACTAGATTTCATTTTGGCGCTCATGAAACTACCTCTTGTTTAAAAATTAGGAAAAAGGACTATTTTATGGATGGTTGCTATGTTGATAAAGATCATGATTAACTCATTCTCATATTCTTCTGTCAGTACTGCCTGTCGGGACATCCAACCTTACCATGCAACGTACTCAAGTTCAAATCTACCACCATCATGTTGGATTGCGGGTTGGATATGACCTCTACCCTCAATTTCCTCCCATTGCCACTGGTTCAGAGGTATGTTCTGCGGCCTGTAAGCACTTAGTCTGTGTCTTCTTGGGTTGCAGCTGGAGTGCTTTGTGTGAAATGGTGTATTGGGAGGAGGGAGCGGATGAGTACAAATGAACAGCATCATCTGATATCATAAATAGACTTTGTTCACTTAAAAATTCTCTTTATCAGAATAACATCCTTTGGCTCAGTAGACGGAAGACATTTTATGGATTTATTGATTGGTTTTTCTAGATAATTTATTCTAAGCTTCAGTAAAGTATTGTTGCAACTGCTCAGCAAAAGTGAGGTCGCATATCTGTCATCTTTCTGGCTTCTTCGTGCAAGATGAGATAAATGGGAAACTGAGATGGAGTGCATGGAGCCCGGTAAGCAGTGTTTAACCACCATCTGCTCAGGCTTTTCTTCAGAGCATGGACTAATACAAAGAGAAATGGCACTTAACAGTCCTCATCAGCCAACGTGATGACATAGTCTTCCCCTTTTAAAAATTAAGTAAATGAAAGGGCAGTGCAACTGGGCACAGGAATGGAATGGCAGTGAAATTGTCCTGTTTGCCCAGAATCCCATAAGGAATAGAGCATAGAACTGAATCCTGAAATCAAGGCTCCTTCTGTGCTGCAACTGCAGAGTGGTCTCTTCCTGGATTTGCAGCTGGATTTGGATGTTCAATTAGAGCGGCTTATGTCTTACATAAGGTGGAACAAGTTACAAAAACTGTGGCTTGGGGAAGTGGATATGAGTAGCTCTTTGGTGATGGGAAACCGGTAGGAGTTTTCACAAAAGCCATTTGGTATCCTTGATCGACAAGAAAACAAGTGAGGCGTGTTATCGGGTCAGGGGATGCTTGGGCGGAAGGACGGGGAGATTATGATTGCAAAGGGAGTTCCACAACTGACCTAAACCTAATGAAGTTAAAGAAGTTGTCCAGCACCTCCTAGGAATTATTATTTCTTGGAGGTGAAAAGAACAGATAACGTATGCATTGTTCTGTGAGGACATGGAGCTCCAGATCTGGGGTAGAGGAGGCAACAGCTACCTCAAGACAAATCAGTATGATAGCTGATTTTTGTCCCATTCCAGAAATGTATTTGCTAACAACAATATTCTGGGGCAGTAGTAGGTTTTGGAAGGCTCCAGAAAATTTGGGAAATCCAGGTACAGCCACAGCTGCCATGCATTAGCTCCCCCTGCTTCCATCCAGTGCTTCCCCCCCACCCACCCCCGAAGAGGAAACCGAGAGAGGAACAAGTACAAAAACTAGGTGATCGAACAAAGGCTTAACAGGTTCTTTAGAAGGCAGGCATCGATGCTTCCCGGGGGTATGCTAACTTTGTCTGCTAATAGCAGACCCTCAGAATGAACAACCAAATTGCAGGTCACAACCTGGAATTCCCCCAGTACTTCCAGAATGTCTGCACTAAAATGACTCAAACTCAATAAGGAAGGATGTCAGATTTGACCCCTGATGGCCCAGTGGAATGGGAGCAAACAGTTGGATTTAAATCCAATCGATCTTGTCGGTAAGGTGATTGAACACCCTTTACAGCAAGAGTTGTCCTAAGCACATGGACTTGGGCAAGTAATTGATCTCTTCAGTACTCTGCAAAACAGTGTTGCAGTGAGTTATAGAAATGTGTTAGAAACTTGAAGAAGACTGTGGCTGTGGCTAAAATGTCCTTATCTCTCTATAGTACTTATATTAGTGCCATTATATATCCGGTGTCTATTACCAAGATGCTTGAACACCTCCTAAACTCAAATGTGCATTATCAACACACCATGACTGAGTGGTTGCGAGCTAACGTTATCATCAGTTTCCAGATGAGAGACTAAGGGCGGGACTGACTACCTGAGGTCTTGCATGAGGCTTGTAGCAGAGCAAGAGTTTGAACATAGGTCTCAGATTTGAGGCTATTAACAGCTTTGTTTCCTGTTATAGTCAGGAATGTTTCATCTTGCAGCTAGGCTTAGGTAGACCCACTTGAAACCTTGACCTCAGTGGGTGAGAGCTGTGCTTCTCTCTGCTGTTTGTAAACCAGAGGTCCCCAGAGTTGGACCAGCGTACCACCTGGTCCTGCCAAGCCTCTGTATGGTGCCTGCAAAGGTGCCCTAATTTTAACCTCTGTGGAGCATAAAGGTATGACATTACAGAGGATCTTTGCTATGCGGCTAGAGCCTATGTCCTGTCTGGCATGAGACCCTCCTTGAGCAAACATTTTGAGAACGTGTGCTTTAATCTATGAGAGAGGAAAGTGCTGTAGTGTTTATCTCGTTAAAGGAGTTCTTTGCTTTTCAAAAAAGGCCCATCAAAAGGTATTTAGATTTCACCTTGTCCCGGAAATGGCAGTGCCTGTTCTCACCAGCCCGTAGTACATGTGCAAAATATCTGCAGTTGCCAAACACTTTGTGCCAGTTCATGTACTTTAGAGCAAGTTTGTCAACTGGAATTTTCTCCCCTATACCAAAGTCAAATGCAAAGCGGTAAAATGAACATGTGGGAAGCTCTTAACCTTTCCTGTCTGGCAGTGACACGCTTGCTCACATTATTTATGTGACAGTTCTAGCTATTTTGGATTAATCAATCACTCCATTACAATGTCAAAACTATGTCTGCAGAAACTGTTACATCTTGGCTTCAAGGTAAAGAGTTCTTTCTTCCCTGTGTCACTTGCTCCAATTTCACCCCCACTCAGGACCCATCTCCTAATTTTGCTTCTCTTGCCAAGACTGTGTACACTTCTGTGGATGCTAGGTTTAATACAAGTCAGCAGTGCTTTCTCGTCATGAATAAGGCAAAATGCACTGGGCTAAATTAGGAGGAATATGGCCAACACATCAAAGAGAGTTTATTCCCCTCTGCCTCATGCTGTTGAGACCGCACAAGGGATACTGGGTCCAGGTTTGTGTCCCCAGTTCAAGAGGGATGTTAGAAACTAGAGAGGGCATCCAGGAGGCTCCAGGATGATCGAGGTCTAGAGCCCATGACTGCAAGGAGAGTTTGAGGGAGCTGGGCTTGTTTGCTCTGGTGGAAAGAAGGCAAGGGGTGTGCTAATAGCAGCTTACATCTACTTGAAAGGAAGTTAAAAAGACAGCAGAGCCAAACTCCTCTTAGGAATGGCAAACAGAATAATGAATGGAGTGGTCACGATCCGTGCCTTGAGATGCTCAGGTTGAACATTACCCTGCTAGTGATAAAGTTTTTCTCAGTCAAGCACTTTCATAGATCCCCAGAGAGGCTCTGGAGTCTCTGCCTCCAGGGATCTGCAAGACTGAGCTAGAAAAATCAGGGCTGGTGTAGTCAAGTGTTTTAGCTTGGAGTGATCTTTAGAGGTCCCTTCCAACCAACATTTCTTTCCTCTCCTCCCTCATCTGTCAAAGCTGTTGCACATCAGAGTGGTTTGTTCTTGCTTTCTCTCGGCTTTTCACTTAGCTCTTTAGCTCGTTCCACACAAACTTTCCTCAAACCCCTCCCTCTCCAAAACACTGCACTTAAATTGTGCTTTTGAACATGTCAATGGGGGTACATTTAGCCACCACATCTTTTCTATGACCAGACTTTCTCAGAATTGCTTTGTGTCCTCAAAAGCGGTTTGCACTTCTCTAGCATAGCCTCTCCTGCTGCTTCTTGATCATGCATCCTCCTGCTCTTACTTATCTTCTGTCTTCAGTCGTTCAGTTTCAATTTCCTTTTTTCCTTTCTTGTGATTTCTGGAGTACCGGCCAGGTTAGTTCTTTTATATTAATGTTAATCTGAACACAACGTTCCTCTGAGCCATTGAGTCGCCTCCTCTTTTCAAGATCTGAAGTCTGAATGCACTTTTAACAGATGATTTGCCACCTCTCTACAGAGTTTAGTGGAAAGCACTTGCAGATTTCATTGCAGCCAGGTTCTCAGGTTCCGCCTCCAAATCTGAAGTTGTTGCAGGGCTTGATTTCAGGCAAGTTTGATTCTCTTAATTTTGTTTCCTTCACTTTTTCATTTTTGGATTTCTGTGGATATGCTTAAATCTGTGCAGACGGTGATTTACAGCTAAGTTATAGGCTCATGCAAAAATCAGGTGTCACAATGAAGTATTAATAGTCCCTCAGGTATGGTAACGAGAGATGCTGCAGCAATTCCTACTGTAAAGTGAGGATTATAATGTCACCCTTAAAGTTTCTTTGTTAGCACTTAAAACAAAGAAACAAAAAAAGCTATTACCCCTGCAGTTGCTGACTGATACCAGACCTGTCAGCTTAAAACATGCATTTCACAGCAGAACCTCGTTGCTCCTCTGTCCTTCCAGCACAGGTAAACACATCGTACAGCAGTCACTGTGGGTCTTCAGGATGAGACCTGAGCATGAAACTATGGTTTGTGTGGATGTAATTGCAATCCCTATGTCTATAAATGACCTAGAGTGTTAGTCTTTCCCAGCCATTGCTTTAGTGCCTTATGTGCATGTTTTTCTATCATCTTCCATCCTAAAGCAGCTTTGGTTTTACAGTGCTTTTTTATTGTTTCGGGCATAGAGCTTTCAAATGCGCTCAGCGTTGACCAGCCTTGCTTCCATTTATACAGCCAGTTTTACCACAGGGACAACAGTGAGAATTTTTGAAGCTGACATCGTAAATGACTAAAATCAAACTCCCTACATGTGTGTCCTCTTATTCTTTTTACATATAAATGTCATAATCACGATTTGTAAAAGTCATGTCAGTGAACACTTAAGCACAGTGAAACTGTCTGTCTGTTTTATAGAGATTGTTAGTTCTCGGGGACAGAGATGGTGTTCTCTTCCTGTATGACACCAAATACAAGGTCTGTGCTTAATGAGTAATAATGATATAATCATATTGCCGTACTTTTTTTCTCTCTTTCTGCAGCCCCAGGCTGTCCAAACTTCCTGGTTGGGTTTTGAAAGATGGAAGCACGTTTCTGGACAAGGTAACGTACCGACGGTTAGAATTTTCTTGCCATGCGAAAAGCCACCGACAGGTTTGAAGTTTGCGCTATAGGAACAATAATTCCATGCCGACTCATCGCAAAGGTTTCTGTGTGTACTGTTACCAGCCATGACGTCCTTGTAGAGCAGAACCTTTTGAAATAAAATGCTAATAGCGACTCTGAGGCTTTCAGTCTTCAGAGGTAGCCTGGCTTTTTAAAAAAATCCTTTTAAAAATGCAGAAATCGTCAGTATGAATATTTTCTTATTTCACAGAGCTCCATAAATAATAGCACTTTGCCTTTGTATAGTGCCTTTTATCCAACAATCTCATTCTTCTGACACTAAAACTTCATAGCTTGTAAATTAGGTTAGTATCCTCTCCTTTTTTAGATAGGAAAACGAAGAGAAAGTGAATGGTTTGCCCAGTGGGAGGCCTGTGACAAAGGAAAAGCGTGTCTTTGGCCTCTGTTGAAATCAACATGTGTTCTGCCGCTGGACATAGCGGGGAGGATTTTATCTTCAGACTGCTAATTCTAAAACACAGGACTTACTCAGCTGCATGAGAGACACAGAATCTTTCTTTTTTTCCCTCTTTTCGTTACATTAGTTTTGTAGCCAGAATTCACCTGGGACTTGAACCGAAAGTGGGCACTGCAGCATCCAGCTTGACCTGCTGTAGGGGAACAATGAACACAAAAATATGTCAGATGTTAGTCAAATAGGCAGATACATTTCAGATGTATATAGCAATAGATATCAGTAGAGCAAGTACTCTTTTAATAGACTATTCTCCAACTATGTGATCATTAAAGGGAAAACAGTCATAATAGATGCTTTTGTAGGGGACTTTGAGATGGACAAAACTGCTTGATCTGACTTTTACCGCCAAGGCAGCTGAAGACCACAAATTAAGGACCTGATTTTTCTTCTCATTGGAAACGAACGAAACTGGATGGGGAGCGCTTCTGTTAGTAAAATAGTGACAACTCTATTCAGACTACATGCGAACTGGGAATTGCAGAGCTACAGAGTCTCGGTGACAGAAATGGAGTTGCCCAGCTTGAATTCCCTGGAATTCATTTCTCCTGAAACCCAGCCTTGTGTCCCCTCAGAGCCCTTCAAAAAATGACCCTCAAAAATACCTGGCCATCTACGTATCTTCTACAGTCAAATCCTCCTAGAGCCGGGCAGACTATGTTCTGCCCAAAGAACCGATAGGCGAAATACCTGGCCATCTACATATCTTCTACAGTCAAATCCTCCTATGTTCTGCCCAAAGAACCGATAGGCTGTCAGTAACTTTTTACGTGTTGTATTTACATTTCTATGGTACTGCTGCTACAGTGCGTGCGCAAGAGAGTCTTCAAACTAGGGCAGTGTCAATGGAAATCACGTTTTAGAAATTCAACGGCAGCATCCCTTAGTTTCACCTTGACCATTGTAACTGCTTGGAATGGCAAAATACTTTGACCCGTGCTGGAAAAAGGAGGGGGAAGGAGTCAAAGGAGGATGTTTTATCATGTTGGGTGGACATTTCTGTTACAGCACTCTCTGGATGGCAGTTATAAAACTTAAGTCGTGGAGAGGCATTGAAATTCACTGCGATCTAGTTTTAATCATTCTGAACTCCCTTGAGATGAGGTTAGGAGACTTCTGCCACTAGATGTAATTGCTCATTCGTTATTAGTTGGCAGGTGCACTGTAATTATTAAGAACTGGATTCAATCTTTATCATCTGAAGCTGGCTGAGACCACTTGCTTTTGGGACAAGCGAGAGAAGTATCCTCAAAAGACGACAAAGTGTGGGTGACAGGTAGCCTGTGAGGTGTGTTAGGATTAGATGAGAGAATATTATTGTTTGCTCCTTTTCATACATAATCCTGAAGAATGTGACTGTTCATTTGACAAAGATTTCTGGTAAGTCAGCTTTGGCATCATAAGGAAAAAGAGGAAGAAAACAGAGGAGCAGAGATACAGTAGAGATAAATCTAACAAAAAGTGCCACAGAGAGCTTAGATCCCTAAAAGATGTTTGGTAAAGTGTGCTGGGATGGAGAAAAAAATTGTATACTGCTCCTAGTAAGACAGAAAGTTTGATGTTATTGGGAACAGGAGCTAGATTCCAAACTCATAAGGTACCCACGGCACTAGCAAGGTGCCAAGACTTTCTAGGTCGGGAAAGCACCAGTTCCAAAAGAGGTCTTCGCAACCCGCTTCTCAGGTCGTACTTTACCTCTGATTCTGATGAACAAAGTCAACCTCTGTCATTAAGGTTTTCCCAGCCAACACATCTGCAGCTGGATGAGCAGAGAAAACTCAGCCTCACAGAACATCATGAGCTCTTTCATTGCTCCCTTCATAGCCCCATCAGAACCAGCTAGTGGTTGCCCAGGGTCTCTTTTCTTATCTGTGGGAGTTCTCCGTTCCTCCAAATGAGGTCCTGATCCCCTGAAGTAGCAAGCAGCCCCGTCTCACATGAAAGCAACCTTGGCAGATCTGCTTACAGCAAATGGCGTCTGGAAGGAGAATAAACTTAATGTAGTAAAGGGCTGGAAATTGCCTATAATAAACGAAAGGGTTTGAAATCACAAAATCCACTCTGTTGGAGTGCACCCTTATGCATAACACTGAGTTGTATTTTTGTGTGTCATCTCTTGTCTACTGATGTGCTTCTCTCACAGGAACTAAAGGAGTGTTCTGGCCATGTGTTTGTGGACTCTGTGCCTGAGTTCTGTTTGCCAGAGGTGAGTTTAATCAAAACCTTATTGAAAAATATGACTCAATTCAGGCATGTGGGACAAATTTGGTAAATTGCTATTACCAGATTCATGCTAATTTATTGCTATTTAGTAGATAGTAGTAGTGAAACCTCTGTGTTGTTATGATGCCTCTGATATTTATGACATTGGGAAAGGTTGGAAACAGCCCTTTTCAACAATGGTTTTAGGACATCTAGGAGATCTCCTTAAGCAGATCAGTATCTCACAAAAGAATACAAAGATTTTAACTGTCCTTTTTATTGGCCTTCCGAAGACAATGTGATATGGCTTTGACTGAGCTGGACTCAGATATGACAGGATACATGTGCTGATGTAGATAAGGGCAGTGAATGAAGGCAAGAAAAGCTGCTTGTCTCTAGCTGCAGATGCATGTCCTGCCTAGTGGAAGTCCCTGGGGAAACCTACAGTCCGATTAAGCCACTTTTTGGCTCTGCTGCGTTGCAATCAGACATGGTGTTCTGCCTGCAGCAAAATGGGGTTAAACAGTGACTGCCTTCATAGCTATTAATTGCTGCCTCTTTGAGGGAGGAACCATACCCTTGTATCCACATACATAGCTGTACAAGTAACTGCTGGTCAGGCTGGTTTTGTCAAGAATACCTAAGTTCATAAAAAAGAGCAAAAGCAAAGCTGACTATTGAAAGTATTTGAATTAACTGGGCTTGCACTGACTGATCAAGTTAATGGTGTACATAGTTAGCAGAGCTGAAGGAGTAAAAAACTGTGCAGAGAGTAATGAGGATGAATGATAGGGAATAGTCTGGGGATAGTATCCTTTTTACTCAGCTGTGGTCAGGTTGTGATAACATCAGTTCTTTCATTTGATGTTGGGATGTTTTCTCTGTCTTTGAAAGACAGAGAAGATTGCCTTTGGGCAGGGATTTTTTTTTTCTGCCTGAGCTTGTTGACAGGAACTGCAAAACACTCCTGGAAGATTGCTGTCAAGCTTACTTGGGTTCTAGCAATGATGTTTTTCTCTGTCGATTTTCTGAAATTCACCACCTGCAGCTTCTGACTCTTGTCATGTTGATTCTTTGAAGGAAGCTGGCAGCTCTGGTACTGGTTTTGGCAAGCGGTATGAGCAGATCTGAGCGGAACTGGTTGTTTCCCCCCACAGGGGGAAACATACCATCCTGTCACCAAAAAAAATCCTGATAATTCTGGATTCTGGAGTGCCTTCTGGTTACTGTCCTGTGGAAGGGCAGGGACGTAGGAAGCATCCTTATGCCCAGAAAGTGCTGTTATGTCCCAAATCTTGGGAAGACTGGAGTTTAGTTTCTGTAGTCCATTTGGAGTTGAGACTGTGCACAGGAGTGATAATCTGCCAGCTTTTGGGGTGCTTCAGCTAGCCTTTCTGGTTACCTTATTGGGAAAATACCCATGTCTTTAGCTCTAAGTAGGACTGATGGGGAGTTGCTGCTTCACTGATGCACTGATGTCGTCACTGAATGTAACACTGTTTTCCAGCAGTCCGTGTCATAACTAGAAGATAGCAGCCAGCCGCACATCACAACTGTAGGAGTTTTATAAATGGCCTCTCAAATGCTTCAGTTCCCAAAGTTCGCAATAGATGCCAAGCGTTCTCTGGAAGCAGTAGGAATAGATCTGTTAGCGATACATAGCCCTCATCTCGTGCTTCACAGACTCCCCTGTCTGGAGGTAGGTTCAGATGTCACGGCCAGCTGAACGTATCAACAAAGTAGAAATGTTGCTATTGTTTGGCTCTAAGAAGGAGCTGGTATGAAAGACGCTTTGTCTTTTCTTTGTCTCCTTCCACGGCACTTCTTTTGAAGAAACTTGCCTGCAACAGCAGTTTGTTTGAGAATCACAGTATCACTTCCAGGAACACCATTGCCAAAGAAAGCCAAATTTTGAATGTAATCCAGAAGCCACAAGGTGATAAGAGGCTGTCTCAGCAGCAGAGTACACTTTCTCATGTCAGAGTGCAGGGTGCAGCCCTTTCTTTGCTTGGCAGCCTTCTGGTCTTCACATTCAGGAAACATTTTTAAACCTCTTTAGTTCGTAGGCACTTTTAGGGAGATTGCTGCAAGGTCCCGGAGAAGATTTTACATTTGCTTTGGTTTTGACACGCTTTTCATCCTATTAGTAAATACTTCTAGGATGCTGAGAAATGGGACACTTACATTTGGAAACTGGTAGTCTGGGTGCTGTATCCTCCAGCTTCTCATGGGGTGCTGTGCTGGGATTCGGCCCAGTGCTGTGAGTGACTCCCCGTTGGATTATATACGGTCTAGACAAAATCAAACCACGAACGACTAGCTGGGTGGAAGCTGGTGCCAGCAGGCTCTTTGATACCACGTAGTGTATTTCTGTCTGGCAAGCTTAGTAAGATAAAAGGGTCCCCTGTCGTGAATCTGAGGATAGGGTTTCACCCACTGTACTGAGCCTTGAGATCATGCCTTCAACATCAGCTGTGATCATGGATTGAAACCAGGAACACTCAGTTGTGAGTTAAGCAGCTCGTCACCAGAGCAGGGTGTCAGTCCTCTGAAAAGACGAGTGACCTACTTTCTTGCCATTTTTATTCAAATTGCTGGACCAAGCCTTGTAATCAGATAATACGTGCTTGATGAGTGTTGAATTCCATTAGCTGCTCTATAATAACTGAGTTAGAGGTCATATATCTTGTAAATTTCTGACTTGACACCATTTGTGTTATAGCATTACCAGTAAATATTTCTAATTAAAATTCCTTTAACAATGTGTGAAATCTTCTCCTTTCACTCTCTGAACTTAACTGTCTTAACTGTCACATCAAAACAAATTGGACCCACCCGTCTGTTTTGTGATATCAAACGAATGAGCTTAATCTCTTGCTGTAGAAAATGTGAATGATAATGATGCCAAGCCTTTAGTTTGGGAAAATGAATGAATTATGCTAAGTATGTTAATAAATACGGTCTGCATTCTTCTCTCTCACTCTTCTGGGGTCAGTACCATGTGCTACATGAAAAGCATGAGAGACCCCTTGCTAAATAGCTAGTGCATAAGTTTTGGTGGCTGGGTGGAGTGTTTCCCCCTGCGGTATAACACACATCAGTCATATGACAAAAGCGTAATCAGAATGCCTCTCTTAACGGCAGCCATTTCATTGTGTGAAAGAGAGAAACTCAGGACGTGGTGTCCTGCTCAGCTCTGAGGAGGGAGGAATTTTAGAGGATTTTTTAAAGAAATCTTGTTAATTTGAAGGAAACATTCATCTTTGCCACAGCTGAGATATGCCCCTTTTAATAGACCAGTAGAGCAGTTGTTAAGTTAATAAGTTAAGTTAAAAAGTTAAGTTGTTAAGTTGTAAAGTTAATAAAAAAAACAAACAAGGTTTTTCTGCCAGTGCTCCAACTGCATGAAAGGGTTACATGTTGCTTATCTCTTTCCTCTGTTTTCAGACTGAGCTGCTTGACCTCTCCACAGTAGATGTAATCTTGATCTCAAACTATCACTGCATGATGGCATTGCCCTATATCACAGAGTACACAGGATTCACTGGAACGGTGTATGCCACTGAGCCCACTGTTCAAATTGGCAGGTAAAAAGCCCCTTAATATTCTCTACTCCTCTTTCATCACTGCTAAGGAAAAGGTGTAAAGGACAATATGGGTAGAGAGCGGTGTCTAATGTTCCGAAGAGGCTCTTAGGCAGTAGCTGAAAGCCAGCCAAGTCCTTAGTGCTGAAAATGTGTTAACTCAGTGTTTCCCAAACTCTGGAACTGGCTGTCTTCAACGTTTACAGCAGGTGCTGTGAGTCCGGGGAGTGCATGTGGGGTAGTAGATCTTGAGTGGACTGAGACATCTTGAGCAGCACTTGCCATATGGCCAACTTCAAACCTTCAAAACCCATGAATCAAAGATTTCTGCTCCTCCTCTCTGCTCTCCTTAAACAAAAGGAGAATCACCCATCTTTAAAACAATAAACACCTTTAGGATTATAGTTTTGTAGTTTTTCAACCTTTGAAATTCATTTATTCAGGCTTTCCTCCACACCATGGACGGGAAATTAAACAATCTTCATTTCAAACGACAGTTGAGATTCTCTCATAAGTGCCTAACTCCAAAGAGGAGAAGCTCGAAGACAAACAGCAGAAATATGAGACTGAAGTAGAAATACAGGACCTGCCAGTGCTGTCAAAAACTTAATATTTGATCATCTAATTTGCAGAATTTTCTTAACACAGTAGTTTGCTGACTTTGCTAGCTCAACACCTGCAAGTAATGGCTGCAGGTTTGGACCGTGGAGAAATCCAACCAGACTTCTGCTGCATGCAGCTCTACTGCAGAGCAGCTGCCGTGTTCAGTAGTTAGAGACCAGATTAAACCGTGGTGCCTGGACTCCTTCTCCATAAGCCCTATAGGATGGGAGCCTTTGTACATTAAAGGTCCTGTACAAACATCCCAGGGAGTGATTCTCCCATTGTGTAAAAATAAAGAAAAACCAAAGGCCCTTGAAGGAGAAAGGAATTATATAAATATAAATTAGTTGTAGACCTCCAGGGTATTGCTGGCCCATAGCTGAAGATGACAGTCGTAGGTAGTCTAGTTGGAGACTAGATTCTGGTGTAGTTCTCCCCACCTCAAGTGATTCCATGTATCATTCTTCTGCAGTTAAATCTCACTTCCTACTTTCAAGGGGAAGCACACATACGATTACAAATGCAGTTTAGTTTCAGGCGGTAAGATTCCAGTGAAATGCCTGACATATTTTTCTGTCTCAAATACTGTATTGTGCAATTGTAGAGGAGGAGAATTCAGACTGACAATGTGCTTGGCTTCTCTTGGTGGTAAGCAGGCATCAGCTAACAAGTTTCCTTCATATGTAACGTTTCATTCCTTGTGACAAGCAGTCAGTTACATAGAAATCACCTTGCACAGCAGAAGTGAGATTTGGGAATGCCTGTTGTCCTGCCACTTTCCAAATAGCCTATAACCCAGTGAGCAGATCCTTTGCTATTGCAACCAGGCGGTCCTGGACTAGCTTGAGCTTGACGTGCTCAGCTGGGAAACAGGGGTAGTATGGTGAAGGGTGATTGCTGTGATGCTCTGCAGGAAGAACCCCTATTTAAAACTGCCTGATAGTGTGTGATATTTTGGAAGCATTTGGGACAAAGTTATCTCCTGCCTAAAAGTCTGTGATAGTAACTTAGCTATGGTGTCTTTGCAGACTTCTCATGGAAGAACTGGTGAATTCCATTGAACGTGTGCCAAAGGCTCAATCTGCCTCCATGTGGAAGAACAAGGAGGTACAGAGGTAAGGAGCAACCACTTGGAAAGGGTGTCTGTGCTAAAACACTAAAACTCTAACGAATGTTTAGGGTTTACTGTAATGATGGGTCAGCTGCCCTCATTTGAGATTTGCTTTGCTACAGCCCTTAAGCAGAAAAAGAAGCTTAAAATGAGTACAGCTATGACTGACTTCTTCGTTCTGTTCTTTCTTTAATCCTTTGCACATTGCTGGTCTTCCAAATAACCACACAGACTTGATTCTTGGAGGGAGACTTGATAACCACAAGCCTCCCTCTGGTCTTCTCCCACATAACTTAGCTCCATGTTGATAGATGAAAATGGCAGAGTTTTGTGTTACCATCTTAAACAAATGTTGAAATTAGCGAACTGTTTAAACTTTATTGTATTGAAATAATTTTAATTTAAATTTATATTTACATTCATGTTTGCTGAACTGCTAAGAAAGTCAAGCTACTGGACTGTTGGAAGGCACTGGTAGCCAACCATAGCACAATATAACATGTCTTCCCACACCCAGAATCCTTCTTATACTTGAACCCAGAGGGGGGTTCCGTTTTTGGGGGGGGGGAGGGGGGAGGTTTGTTTGTTTGGGTTTTTTTTTTTTGCTTTTTTGCTTTATTTCAATCAAAGCTTAAAAGCGAGCTGAAATTTGAAGAAAAAGGCACTTGGAAATTCCATCTCCCTTATTTCATCTCTACATAAGAAGGTACTGAAAATTGAGACTTCGTACCTCTAAAATTTGGAAAGCCTATGTAATCTGAAAATCATCGGTCCAGTTGATTAATTGCAGATAATACTTTCCTTGCAAATACAGTTGATTTTAGATGTACAACATATTCAGTGGAGGAGAAAATTTTGTTGCTAGCGCATTTTAAAAATAGGATTGGTTAATTAGAAAGTTATTTTTAAAAGCTGTTTTGAGCATTTTTAATTGAACTCCTATTTTCTATCCCTATTTCTTCATGAAGCTTGATTTAAAAGTTTACTAAAAATGAATTATCTCATAAGTTATAAAAGTAGTGTTGACATTTTCCGGTATAACACGGCAAAGAAATTAAAAGTCCGAATTAACATATGTTTAGCCATATATTGTACTCCCTGCTGAGCAAAGGAACAATGTTATCTCACCGCTGCAAGTCTCAGTTTTCTGAGGAAGGTGAGTAAAACACAGATGTAAACCAAAACTAAAGACGATAAAGCTGATCAGCATTCCAGGCTGCTTGATATAAACTGATTAGAATAGTATTTCTTAATTAATTTGGCAGTCCAGTGCCTTGACTGGAACCACTCCTGAAGCTCACGGTGATGTGTTAAGAGAGGACTGAAGCCATTATTCTCGTCACACTAGTGCATGTGTTTTGTATGCATGGTTTAAAGGAGGACCATATATCTTAGAACTCATTTAATGTCACTTTCCTGGTGGTTGTATTTTAGAAAAAGTGCTGTCTAGCACTTTGGGTGTTGTTGACTATTCAAGAGGCGAACACAGAGAGGTGATCTTTGTTCTAATGCAGCCGCTACAGAAGGCTGGAGTCTTTTTTGTTGGAGCTTTATTTAAAGTATTTTTTTCTGTCTTATATTGCTTGGGAAATACCCCAACATGGACAGTTCCTCCTTGGGCCTGCCTGTCAGTCAGCTGTTGTAATGAGGCGCTGATGGAGGTGTAAGGTGTAAGAGGCCACCTTGAGATAGACAGGACCAACCCTTCTGTCCCACTTACAGAACCTTTGTAGAGCACAGAGCACTGCCAAAATATGACCTGCTGTTGGGAACCTTGACCAGACAGCAGCTTCCCCAACTTCCAGAGAAAAAATGCATATCTTGCCCAAATACGAGATAGAGGCAAAGCAAAGAAACGCTACGCTAGTGAGGGTAGTCCAACATAACTAGCAGACATGTCCCGCAGCTGTTTGTTAACTAAGTCTACTTACCATAAGCTCTGCCTTGTGGCTGCTATGAAGCTGTGTTGCCTCTGAGCTGGAAGAGTGGGACAAATTTGAGTTCCCTTTCCAACTCTGCCCCACCTGAACTGTGGGTTTCCCACTTCCACCTCCCTCTGCCTCTGTAAAATGGAGCTTCTATCTACCATACAGGGTACAGAGGGGCTTAATTAATGTTTGCAAAGTGTTTTGAGATTCTTGGTGACAAGTGTCATGCAAGCGTGAATAGAACTGATTATTATAGCATGTGAGCAAACATCTACTGATCCACAGATTAACACCTGGCTAATAGCACACGCAGGGTTGGACTGACATCCATTATTTAAGAAAATGTGATACTTGGTGATTTTTTTAAATACTTGGCTGTTGCTAGAACAGAACGCTTATTACTTTTGAGCCTAATTTTAATTTTTCAGGCTGATCGATCCCTGTTATTGCTTTACAGTTCAGCTAGTTCTAGTCTGAATAGTTAGTACAAAACACCAAGTGTTAGCATCTGCATTAGATAAAGCACTGAAACATTTTAAATGCAAATGCTGCATAAAATATAAGAAGTTCATTATAGTAGCTTGCATTTTGTCATCATCAGACCTAGTCCGAGCTAATTACTTAGGAAGTTTTATTACCAGTGGTTTTTGTTTTAAATGAGCGGTCTTCTGGAGGATCTGTAGATGCTCAGCCAGGATATCTTTCAGGCTGATTATGATTCAGGGGGCTAAAGGGGATGTTTGCCTCATGAAAGACACTTTGTCAACTACCTGTTTGATGGTTTCTTCTATCTTTCTCTGAAGCGCTTGGAACGGATTGTTTCCTGAGACAAGGTAATGGACAAGACTGGCCAATGTTCTGATCTGGTTTGGTATTGCCATTCTTCTCTCCCTTCTAGCAGGAACACTTTAAATACTAAATATTATCCTTCGCATTGAGCAGGAGGAAGCAGTGTGTTAGAGATTTGGGAAACTGAATCTGTGCAGATGCCCAATTAGGAATGCAAGTAGCTGAGTTTCTTAAGCATAAATTTTATACTAAGTACTGGATCGTGCTTTTTCCTAATCCTTCCCTGTTTGTCCCTGCATCTATCTCCATACAGCTGCCGTGAGATGATCCACACGAAGCTGTTTGTTGCCACTGTCTTAATAGATTCACTCCAGACTTGAAAATATCCAATATCCTTCAGTAACCTGTTGTACAAATGAAAAAAAAGTATGTGACAGGTTAAATGCTAGCAGGGTGACATGTGAGGAACCAGTGATCCTCATTGTCTCTTGTGTGCCACTCAGCAAGGAAAGAAACCACTGGAGACTAGTCCCGCTAGTCTCTGTTGGGGAATCACGGTATATTTATGGTGTAGGCACAGAGTCCAAGGCTAATAGAAACTTACTTCAATCACCAAGGACAATTCCCCTCTTTTCTCCATTACCTGGGAGCTTCTCTTCTGGGAAGAGAAGCTACTTAAAGCATCCAACACTAAATGCCTTCTTATGGTAGGTTAAAGGCTTTTACAGGCAATTTGCTTCAGTGAGATGGTAGACAACTATCCACGTTGTCTGGCCCTTTGTTGCTTATGACTTCCCAAAAAAGGCCTAGGACACTTTGTTTGTTTCCTTAAGCAGTATGCTTTCAGCCGGCATGTGTTGGAATTACAGTTATCACACTAGACCTGTACAGCGGTCTTGGCAAGCGCTGGCCTTAATCCTTTCTTCAGTTTCTTAAATTATGGAGGAGTTCACTGACCTAGTAGATATAACAATAAATTAAATTCCTTTAAACAAATTGATCAAAGAAACTTGACCAATTTCCATAAATCATTGGAAATTGGTTTGAATTAGCCTTTGATTTAGCATTGGTTTAATATACAAAAAAAATCCTGTTCTTCTTATGCATTTGGCAGCTGTGCTGCTTCCTGCCTCCGTTCATGTTGCTAGGGAAGATTTATTTCCCAGAAGTTAGCCATCTCTCTTACAGCCTGTGACATTACAGTTCCCTTCTTCCCTTGACAACGCTGTCCAGCTAACTTGCAGTGCCTGTGAATAGGAGAGTGGATGGATTTTTATTTGGTGTAAAACATATTAAATACTTCCTTGTAGGGGATTTCAAAGTGCTTTGCAGTGTCAGCTAGTGTATCCTTGCCAATACGCTCTGAAGCAAGTGATGTGTCTGAGTTGAAAGCACAGAAACTGAGGTGCAGGGGCGCATGCTCCTGTAAGACACTTGCAACAAAGCGGAGAACAGAGCTGGACTTTATTCATGGTACCTCTAGGTACCTCTTCTGGTACCTATATTTTAATCAGAAGATTGTGGCAATCCTCACTTTGGTTTTCAAATTTTTAGTTTTAGATAGTGGGATATACAAAATAGACACTGATCCTTGGCCCAGTCATTTACTAGTTCTGTTACTGCTTTTTATATTGCCATTTCAGATTAGCCAGCATCTTTCCTCAATGATGAGAATACCACAGGAGCGACTGTAACACCTTCATTCTTCTTTGAAGAAAGGGCTGAGCAGGAACAAAGACAGAGAGCAGAAGGAGAGTAGTCTTTGGGTTGAGGCAAAATGGGCATTGTGATTCTATCCCTCAACGGCCAGAAAAGTTTGCTCCTCGCTTTGGAGCACCGTGCATATTTAAAAAAAAGAAAAAAGAAAGAAAATGGAAATCTAAGATGTGAAGGATACAAATGGGAATAAAAGCTCTATCTGATCTATCTGTCAAGAAGTTCTGAAAATGCCCTGATCCTGTTGATCTTTGCAGGTTACTGCCTGCGCCTCTGAAGGACGCAGTGGAGGTATCTATGTGGAGGAAGTGCTACACTATGCCGGAAGTGAACGCTGCACTCAGTAAGATCCAGCTGGTGGGATATTCTCAGAAAATTGTAAGTATCTGTAAAGCTGTCCTCAGATTAACAGTGACAACCTCTTGTTTCCCAGTTTTTCTCTGGAAGTGCTTGAGAAAAGCCCTTGCTTTTCTATTTTCCTTCTAAGTCCTGTATAAGACTAGTCTAGTTACCCTAGCCTAGAAAAGCAAGACAAGGTTGTTTTCTGTGTCTTCTAGTATATCCCACTCTGCCTCCTATGAAGGCTATTTTCTGGTGGAAATCAGGGTGTATCCATTTGTTCCTCCTCTTCCTCAGGGGAGGCCAATTTTAAGGAGTAACTGGGAATTCAGGATTGATAACTGGCCCACTGAGAGCTGGGAGGATGTACCAAATGAACGTATCTTCTCTGTCTGTAAGCCACATCCCCTTCTGAGTTACTGTATCTCACTTCTGGGATTCTTTTGAGTGCTTTAGCCTCCACTTTCTTTTATGTGGCAAAGTAGGTATTGTAAACAAAACATAATGGTTCAGCCTGAACTTTAAACACTGTTTTCCAAAGGGTTCCCTGTGAAAGTTTGTTGCCTGTAATCCAGATGACTATAGCTCAGTGCAGAGTCTAGAATACACTGAACCAACAATTTTGTAGTCTGCAGATACACTGTTCCCGTTTGGCTTGTGGGCATCATGTGGGTCATGATACCTCTTATCATTGCTCGGAGCCTTAGGAAATGAGAAGGTGGATTAAAGTAAGTTGTTACCTTCAGGTTGTTACTTGCTCCCTTTTTTTAATCCATGGGCTGCTGAAGTTGGAGGAACATTGAAGTTGTTACTATTTACATGTAATTTGGTGGATTGAGAACTGGCTAGGTGGCAGAGCTCAGAGGGTTGCGGTCAGTGGTGCAGAGTCAAGTTGGAGGCCTGCAGCTAGCGGTGTCCCCCAGGGGGCCAGTCCTGGGTCCAGTCTTGTTCAAGGTATACATCAGTGACCTGGAGGAAGGGACAGAGTGCACCCTCAGCAAGTTTGCTGATGATACTAAACTGGGAGGAGGGGCTGACACACCAGAAGACTGTGCTGCCGTTCAGAGGGACCTGGACAGGCTGGAGAGGTGGGCGGAGAGGAACCTCCTGAAGTTCAACCAAGGCAAGTGCAGGGTGCTGCCCCTGGGGAGGAATAACGCCATGCAGCAGGACAGGCTGGGGGTTGACCTGCTGGAAAGCATCTCTGCAGGGAAGGACGTGGGAGTGCTGGTGGACAAGAAGTTAAGCATGAGGCAGCAGTGTGCCTTGTGACCAAGAAGGTCAGTGGTACGCTGGGGTGCCTTAGGCAGAGTGTTGCCAGCAGGTGGAGGGAGGTGATCCTGCCCCTCTCCTCAGCCCTGGGGAGGCCACATGTGGAGTACTGAGTCCAGTGCTGGGCTCGCCAGTACAGGAGAGACACGGCACTCCTGGAGAGAGTGCAGCGGAGGGCTGCTAAGATGATGAGGGGCCTGGAGCATCTCTCCTCGGAGGAAAGGCTGCGAGAGCTGGGCCTGTTTAGCCCGGCGAAGAGAAGATTGAGAGGGGATCTCATCAATGTGTGTTGATATCTGAAGGGAGGGCGTCAAGAGGATGGGGCCAGACTCTTCTCCATGATGCCCGGCAACAGGACAAGAAACAACGGGCAGAAACGGAACCGCAGGCAGTTCCGTCTGAACCTGAGGACAAACTTCTTCACTGTGAGGGTGACAGAGCACTGGCACAGGTTGCCCAGAGAGGTAGCGGAGTCTCCTTCCCTGGAGACAGTCAAAACCCGCCTGGACGCGATCCTGGGCAATATGCTCTGGAGGACCCAGGTTGAGCAGGGGGGTTGGACTCGATGATCTCCAGAGGTCCCTTCCAACCTCGACCATTCTGTGATTCTGTGAAAAAGGAGTTTGTAATTTGTAGTTACATGTAGTTTGAGAAGCAGTAACCAGTGCTGCTGCCTACTAAAGTTGATGGATTTATATTTGTGCAGTGCTGCCTTATAGTCGATGTGAAAAGACCTGAGCCGCCATTAACCTGGCCACTGACGTAAGTAACAACTGAGCTCTGTCTAGCTACTGGATGTTTAAGCTACCGATGCTGAAGGCACTTAAACTTCCCCAATATCCATGAGTGGTTACTGTTCATTTTTGACTGTCTTCATAGGGTGGATCCATCCCACCTAATTTTAGATTTCTGCATCTGTGCCAATCATTCAGAATTCCTTTAGGTAGGTACTGGGAAAAAAGAGGCTTTTCTAGAGCATATTTTACTTCATCTCAAAGCAAATTTCTGCAAGTAATCAGAGCATAGTTAGCCGGTTAACCCAAAAACACGGCATCAGGAGTGGTTTGTTGTTCATTTTGCATGTGTCTGCACCAGCAGAATCTAGAGCCCTGGCTTATAAACTCTGGGAGATGGAGACCCGCATTTTTTTGTGGAGCATCCAAATATGTATTTGGATACTAGAAAAATCACTAGCATTACATGAATTAGATGCTTGTTCAGTAACCAGAAAGTAGATCACATTAGTGAGGTATACCTGGAGGCTCATTTTCCTCTCTCAAAACAAATATAACGCACTGCTGCGTACAGTTGCTTACGCTCAGAGCTCAAACTGAAATTTGGCTTGGATGTTGGTAGCAGGAGGGGAGAAAGGTGATAGTGTTTAAAAAGAAGCAGAGCTGATGAGTGAGTTTGTCTTTAAATTTACATTTTCCCAGCAAAATGTAACCAAAATATAAGGGACTGTTGTATCGGTACAGAACTACTTGTGCTTCTCCCTCTCCGTCTGGCCAATTTCAGTCAAATTTAACTAAAGTAACAAAGAGGCTTCAAACATGTAAAGTTCCTACAAGCTTCCTAAGTACAGCATGGCCAGGCAGAGGATTAAGACCCCAGTTAATGTCTCTGTTGAGAGGAGTGGTGCAGTGTGAACTCAGATGCTAGAGAGTTTGCGTGGAAGAGAGACTTCGTTAAGGCCCTGCCTCAGGAGAAGCTTTGCTCAGAGCGTGTGTCCTGTTAGATATAGGGAAATATGAACGGCAGGCATAAAGCTCAGGAAACTGGCTTCATAAAGCTTTGAATAGCAGAATTGATTTTTTAAATTAATACTGCTGATGATAAAATGACCTGTTTTGACTTCTCTTGGGGGTTCTCTCAGGTTAATTTCTCTCAACGTGTGTTTCAGGAGCTGTTCGGCGCTGTGCTGGTCACCCCTCTCAGCTCAGGCTACGCCCTTGGAAGTTCCAATTGGATTATCCAGTCGCACTATGAAAAGGTTTCCTATGTTTCGGGATCTTCCCTGCTTACAACACATCCTCAGGTAGAGCCACTTTTGTTAGTCCTTTACTGGAGGAAGTGTCTTTTCTCAAAAAAAAAAACAAAAACAGAAGGGTGCACACCAGTTGGGATCAGGTGTAGTGTAGAAGTTGTACAAATGCACCTCAGTTAGCAAATGGCTAAATTTGTAAGGGACACTGAGCAGGCCTACCACCCTGATAAGAGGGCAGGTATCAATAGGTGCTTGGGAAAGACAAAAAAAATTCTGTGTTACTGATAATTTGATGTCAGCCTACTTACCAGATGAGAAATTCTCCTTCACCTTAAGCAGGAAAATTCCAAGCGTTAAACAGTAGAGCATTAGTAACTTTTTTTAAAATCCATATTTCACTGAAGAGTCTTTACAGACAGTTCACAGACTCCTTCTATATCACTTCTGAAACATCCTTCCTTGGAAGAAATGATAGCTAACTGGCTGCCAACATTTCCACCCTGCTCTGCTAAGGGCAAAGTCTTTATAGTACTGTAGATGTAATTTCCAGTAAATTAATTCTCTCTAGATCCATAAATTCTCAGTGGAAAGGATGGCTTGAAGTTTGCAGTACTACGTGCTTTAGAAGTTGTCAAAACAGTTGAAAGCAATATTAGCAGAAGATACTTAAAAATAATTTAGAAAATGTGTCAGGTTCATGATTAGTAAGTAATTTCCTCCAAGGTGAGTGTCTTCTAAAGAGCTTTGCTTCTGAGCATCCTTCATTTAAAAGCTTTATCTCAGGAGCTGAACAACCACAACAGATAAACCCTCCTTAATAATATTACTGTACTCAGCTGAATGCGGTGTATCAAGAGTCTCTAGATCCCTTTATTCTCCTCAGCCTCAGGGTGGCCTGGGTTACGGTCTTTAATGACCTTCTAGTGAAAGAGACTTTAGCAATATATATGTATGGAATATTTCTGTGAGGAGAAACTTTGTGCTGTAGGAAGTGATTTGGGTAGCTAAGAGTGTTTTCTCTTCACTGACATGAAGTAGTGATTCAGTAGTGTGATTCTGTAAGCACCATTTATTGGGTTAAACTGACCATGTTTCCTCATTCTCCAAAGGTGAACATTTGTTTGAAAACTTTGCGTAAAATGCCTTTTTTATTTGGAGATGATCTCCCTGTGGAGGGGAATGGTGTGTGAATGAGCTGCCCGGTAAGAGCACAGCCCATGTATAGGAGATCTGCTCTAACTTACTCCAGCCTGCAGGAGAAATAGTAGCACAGTTAAGACAGGGTGGTTTCAACTTTAACAAGTGCAGAAAAGAGCCTGCCTGAATCCATAGGGAGCATCTCTGATTGCTAACAAGAGATAAAACCTGGACTATTCCCTCTGCTGACATGTCCCTCATGCCATAAACCCTCTCCAAGTTGCCTCTCTTTTTAGCAGACAATCTTATCACTCTTTGCATTAGTCTGTATTAACACAAAGCTTGAAGGACCAGTTTACCAAGCAGTTGAAATTGCTGTCAGACTGCCTTTTCCTTGTTATTTACCATGTAACAAATGTTAACGAATATCAGATATCATCTTGTATTTGCTACTAGACTTTTGATGAAAACAGTGGCTAGTTTGGGGCCTAGTATTAATCCCCATGAACACCATTACAAGCTCCTACAACATGATGATTCTATAAAGACTAGTGGTTTTTGACACCTGCCGACCAGCTCTTCATCTGTTTGATGTGTTTAATAGATATTCTATAGTGACAACAATGTCTTGAGTGGCACAAAGTCAAAATTGTCTTCAACAAACCAGCATTTTTTTCATCAGGGAATGAGAAGTCCTTTATCTGATAAGACTTGTTTTTCCACAAAATCATGGTGAGCAGTCTTAATGGAATTCCCATCTTCTAACAGTGTAAGAGAGCAGTCACTACTGCTTTCCTAGAAAATGATATCCAGTTAATCAGCATGTGTTTATTTAAAAACATATCCTGACCTTTTTGAATAATAGTGAAAGATTAGCACACTCTCAGTCTTCTGGAACTCCCTCCGTAGTGGTTAAAAATAAGTATCAGTTGTCCGGGGTCTCCTTAGCAGTTTAGTATGACAAAGTGCTGCTTATTTGGGCGTACTAATGGAAACAGGTTTTTTCTTCTTACATCTTGTCTGGTGTTCACAGTAACAGACTGGAAAGCACTTCCTTCTCTGAAGGTACAAACAGGATGGGGTTCATCTCACCAACCAAAACTGCCTCCCCCCCATCCTTCCCCCGTGTTGTCCCTTCTGCCAGCACTGTGATTTACGTGATCATACGGTGAAGTGCGTTGCGGAACTGATCTTTGTGAAAAACAAAACTTTTTGTTTGACTTTTGCCAGGCTAGTTCTAGCCCCTATCAGATCCCTCCATGCAGTCAGACAAGTGCTTGTGCAGGCACAGTGAGGATGGCAGCATGGGTGGGAATTAGCTGCTAGGGAGAGGAGAGCAGGATCACTTCTTTGGTATAAATTCTGGTTTAAAGTTTTCATGAAATTAGACATCCCAAGTTGCATCTATAATCAGCAGAGAGTTAAGTTGCATCTTTAATCAGCTTGTCTCTTTTAACAGCTGATAGAATGTGAGACATGTAACTTAAACAGATTAGACATAGCCCAGGGTGTATAGATGGCTAAAACTGGGTCCAGTGAACGTTGGCTGTTGGAGTTGATCTTGAATGCAGCGGCAGGAATCTCATTTGAAATCCTCAGTGGGTCTTCGTGAGAAGTTGTGGTGAGGGATTCAGCAAGACTCTATTAGCGGCTGAAAGTAACTGAAGAGCTGTAAAGCGTTTGTCTGAGAGTTACCTCTGGCACCATGAATTGTTCTCCTTACTTTTGTATTCTGGCAGATGGTTGCTATTAAAAATTTTGCCTCAACCTCTGCTGAGGCTAGAGTTGACACAGTTGCCTGTTGGCACCAAAGTAGAGAACAGGAGTTGACAGCACAGGTTCAGACATGTCACTAAAAGCCTTTTAAGACATCTTCTTTACATTAACCCACAAAAATCAATGCAAGCCCTCTCACTGCGATAGCAGCTGAAATTATGTGTATCTAATATGGCATAATCATTATGTACATTATCACAGGCAGATTCGATATTATTTTTTATTACATTATTGGCATTTCATTTTCACAGACACACGACAGAGAGTCAAAGATTGTGATAAATCTTATTTAGCAGGGCTGGACCTAGAAGATAGCGCACAGTGTAAACTTCTGGCAAAATGCGTTCCCCTGCGCATTTGACAGTGCAAGGTCTTTCTCTACCACTTAAGAATTGGAACTGAGGGACTGTGAGCAAGGGAATTGTACAGGGATCTTCTAAGTTCAGTAGAGGAAGTCTCATGATTCATCAGTCTTCTAGGTGGATGCAGAAACCTTTCCTGGTTGGTGAGACTGAAGAGGATCTATGGAGAATGAATATCCATGAAATACCACTCAGCTGGCTACAGTTGCCCTGCTTTGCTTGAGCAGTAGCGGTGGAAAGTGCATCCCAGCCTAGAGTGAGGCTAAAAGCTAACTTTTCAGCATGGCCTTACTGCATCTGCAGAGGGAGAAGTGAATTTTGCCACTTCAAGTTGGGTTCATACTACATTTTGAGTGTCAAGAATATGTATATTCAGTATCGGGTCTCACTTAAATATAATTTCTGAATTTCTACTGTATGTTTGGTAATGGAGAGAAGTGGACATGCATTTTCATTGTCCTATTAAAGTGCTAGTAAAACGTATCAAATGATCAGCCCCAGTGAAAGAAGTATGAGCCTTTGTGCACATTCAAGGCCGAAGCAACGTTTGCCTTAACATTATACTGCTTGTCCGTGGCCATGTTGCCACGCTGTTTCCTTGGACCATTTAATCAGTCCCTCTGCTAAGTGCGTGAGCCAAAGGCTTGGCTATGCAGATATAAACTCTTCACTCTCCCAGGAAGCAGATGTGGCATGATGGCATGGATCAAAGGCATGTTAGATGATGCTTGTGATAGCCACCCTCAGCACTTTAGCAGCGTAGTCTATGATTGTACCTTTAACTGTAGGGTATCAGTACAACATACACTGTCGACCCAGCAGATCAGAGGTCGTACCCCTGTGAAAACATCAATTTAACTTTGACACAGCTTAGCCACTGTACAACCTTCGAAGAAAGATTAAAGGGAGGCATGGTGCTGATCTGATTTGCTATGGGAGACTGGTAAACCAAATCCTGTTTTATTAGTTTGGCTTTGGTGTTGCACTGAGGAAACCACTTTTTCCTTTTTTTTTTTTTTAATGCAGTTGAATCTGTGATTTTTCAGCTGTTTCCAGATAATTGCTTTTGAGGAAATATTTATCTGTTTGGCCTGATATTATAGCTACACTTTAAAAAGTAAGAGATGCAGATGATTATTTTTTAGATAAATAAGCAAAAGTAAACAACATTAAGGATTCTAAAACAATTTATCTATTCTACCAGCAGTAGCCGTTTCCCATTCCCCTGAAACAGACCTCTGGAAAAGCCTGCACGAGCACAATTAATCTTAAATGAGTGTTTGAAAGTCACAGAGCAGACTTCAGAGTCAAGGGAGGCTCCTGTGCAGAGTTCAGATTCATGCACAAAATATAGGGCTTCAAGCCCAAAGCTCCTTGCTGATCTCACCTCTGTCAAAAAGAATCCACAGAATGGTTGAGGAAAATGGTACTGCCCTCTAACCACGCAGAGAGCCCTGGAAATCAAAGCCGACACCTTGAATTGCACAGGGAGGCTAGCTGGAAACCAGTGCAGCTGGGGATAGAAGTACATGCGTTAAACCCTTCCTGCCTACACTGCCGCATCCTCGGCAAACGATTGTCTTCAGTGTTCAGCTCCTAAGACCATGAAGTGATTAGTCTGTGGAGAATACTGCTTTGAGATGGCTCCAATTACAGTTCAGTTGCGTGTTTTGTGCTGTAATATGCAGGTAAACAGTTGTGTCTGTTTTTTATTAAGTCTAGTTGCATTTCCACAGACAGAGGGATGTTAAGTTTAAAATGTTCCATGTGTTCTCCTTCTTGGTCACTGTATTTTCTTGCTATATTGCACTCCTCTTGGTGCCGACCAGAGAAACCTGTATTAACGACTGTTACTGATTTTATTGCTTTGTGTTCCGTTTCAGCCTATGGACCAGGCTTCTCTTAAAAATAGCGATGTTCTCATCCTGACGGGTCTTACACAAATCCCTACCGCTAACCCAGATGGCATGGTAGGAGAGTTCTGCAGCAACCTGGGTAGGTCGTTGTTGAAAGCAGTCTTTTGCTTATTTTATCATCCTGTTCATTGCTTTGGATGGGAAATAATTCTGAGATTCCTGGAACTGAGTAAGTTGTCCAGCTATAGCTTCTGGCATAAAACTAGCTGTTTAGATTTTACGATGTGCTCCTGATGTCATTAATACAGTAAGTGCTTGGAGAGACACAAGTTGTACCTAAAATGTTTTGGAATGGAACAGGTATAATGAGATTTAATCATCTGCTGCTCTTGGTTGCTAAGTATGTCACTTAGCTGCCAACAGACTACGTGTTGCCTAGGTTTTGGATATCGTTCCCAGCTGAAATATTACTATTTCCTTCCTGTATCTCTGCCAGTGTAAAATTGTTACATGCTGTTTTTATGACTTTCAGTTTTGAAAACAAGCACATCTGCTTCCTTTCTTACACCTGATTTTTAAATATATCAAAAGCAAACAGTACAATCTCTGTTTGAAAAAATATATTGAGATATATTTATAGACCCCAGAAACATAAAACCTAATCAGACACTTTCACAGCTGGAAAAGCTGATAATTGCGAAGCTGTGATATCAGTGTGAGTGGCAGCATTTTTCAGCCTATTTGGAATGTGACATCCAGTGCTGTTCTCTCCTTTTCCTCCCTTCCCCAACTTCAGCTCCTCTGTGCTCTCACCCTTCTGTCATCAAACCACTTGCTCGTGTTTGTCCTGCAATGTATTGCCTGTTTTCTTGTCAGACATCTTCCCTTTACTTTGAACTAACTAGTTCTTACAAAGAACTGACGTACTCGTGGTAGGATTGTTACAGAGGTTATCAAAAGACATAAGAAACCTAAATCAGGGAATCCTCACTGTAAGCAAGTGCCCTCGTGCCTGGGAGAAACCTGAGCTGTAGTAGTTAGGTGACTTACCCAAGGTTGTGGAAAAGGGATGGGAACAGAACCAAGGAGCAAATACTTCTTAGTCCCACTTGCATGTATGAATGTACTCTTGGAGAAGAAAAGACAATACTTTCTTTCCGTTTTGAAATCCTTGTGCGTATTCACAGAGGCTGAATATCTAGGTACTGTCGGAATATCCCACTGTAAGGCTAACATGATAGTGGTCAGCAAATAGTACAAGGCATGTGGTAGATTCCTCCAGGAACCAACAACTCTAAATCAAAATCAGATACCTCTATTTAGGGCATATTTTTTGGTTCAAACAGGGATCATTGGTCCTGATGTGTGCAGTACAAGGTAAAATTATGTGTTTTTATTTTTTTAATATGAGAAGACAAATTAAATGACCATTATGTGGTATAAATACTTATTGGTAGGGTGTGTTTTAGCATGTTATACGAGTGATCGTCCTGGGTTAGACCAAAGATCCTCTCTGCCAACACCATCGCTCCAACAGCAGCAGCCAGTGATACTTTCCCCTCATAATCTCATATCCTTCAACTATTTTTATTTCAGGAATTTCCTGAATCAGACGTGGCTTTTGTGTAGTTAGTAGTTAGTAATACTCAGTGGATTTCTCTTCCAGGAACTTGTTCAGCCTCTCCTTGAAACTGCATAAATTCTCAACACCTGTGACTTCCTTTCCTAGGTGATGCATATGTTTGTGTGTGTGTATATCTATATATAAACAGTATATATATTTGTATGTATGTATTATGGGTTGTGTTTTTGTTATTTTTAAACATTTTAATGCCCTTATGGGTTGTGACAAGTGAGCTTGGGTCACCATGCTGCACCAGATGTGTTGCCCTTCTCTGTCCCTTCTGGACCCTTATGGGGGTTACTGCCCCCATGACAGATGGAAGCATGATAACAACCTACCATCTTACCTTAACCCACCAAGAAGGTGAATTTTTGCTGAGATGCTAGACTTTGTACTGGAGTGGCTGAGGAGCGGTACGTGTTGCCTTACTGCCAACTCTGCTGCAAGGTCATACTATCCAACAGATGTGCTCTGGCAAGAAGCTTGGAGGTCACTGGTATCTTAAACTGCAGCAGCTGTTTGCTAAGTGAACAAGAGTGACACTTTTGTTAATTATCATGTTTTTAAAATGTTGAACAAAGTCTTAAAGCTGTAGCTTGGACCAAAGCAAAATGCAAAAGATGAATGCATAGAACTAAATGTGTTATGTACGTAGATACAGGTGGGTGTTTTTCTGTACAAGCGGCTCTGGTTTACAGAAATATTCTGAACTATTTGGAAGGTTTTGCAGTCTTCAAGCCAGCTTCTATCTTGAATGAAATAAACTCCAAGAAATCAGAAGACCATTAAAGACCAAAGGAAGATACATGATTAAAATGATGTCACTGTAAGAATTTGGCGTTTGAGTGGCATTTGACAAAAAACCACAGTGACCTGGGGAAACTAAATGATTCTATAAAGAAGCAGGGGTAGGGCTGACTCTCATCTGACAACAGTAGTATTTACACATCCACCCCAACACCAAGAGAAGAAAACAGTGAATCAGTTTTCTTGCAGATGTGCAAAAAAGTCCATAAAAGCAATAGGTTACTGCAAAAAGCAATAGCTTAGGCAAAACTGATCACAGTGATTTTCATATATTTTATGCATTTTGAAAATGTTCAGAGGCCTTCACAAGGAGCTGAAAATATACTAGCTAAAAACTCTAAAGCAGACACTGGAAATTTCCCAAGATGTGTATCATAAGGTAATGGCATGTTTGTGACTAAGTGTTGGTAAGCACAGAAATGGAAGTGTGAAAATTTCACCTTCATCTCAGTTTTGATCTCAGCATCTAGGGTTGTAGATGCTGATTCCCATTATTATCGAGTCACATGCGTGATTTCCTCTCCTCTCCACATTGTGCGTGCTGTGCTCAAGCCACACTTTGTCACATCTCCAAGTTCCTCTCATAGGAAGCCCAAACCCCTTCTTTTCTGTTCTCAGCACTGCAGCACCAGCACTCTGCAGCTTGAGAAAAGCAACTGTATGTTTACGTTGCCTTGGGCATCATCAGCAAAATTGCCAGACTCTCTCTGTAGGGACAGGTTTTGATATTTCGTGTGTGTGTGGTCGTGCCTGTGTGTGTGTGTGTGTGCGCGCGCGTGCGCGCATCTGTTTATATAAAAGCAGAAAAGAGCACAGTTGGCTTTTCAGGTGCCAACTTGACCTTGTGGTGACAGCTGTTTGAAATGCAAGTATCTCTTTGTGAGCTGTAAATTGAACAACTTGTTATGGAGCCACTGAAGAAGACTAAATTTGAAATGCCAAGATTATTATACAACTTTTTTCAAGAGAGTGCATCCATCAGTCACAGAGATAAATTGGGCTTTAAACAGCTTTCAAATATACATGTCCTCTTACTGACAACTGTGGAAAGTTGTCCTAGTGGTACAGAAAGCCAGATTGGACCTGCTACTTGCATAGAAAGTAATACACTTGTAAATTTTTTCATTCCTGTTTTAGACACGCTGGGGGGTAGTTCTTGTCTCTTTTATGGAGCCACTGAAGAGCCCCTTCAGGAAATAGTGCTCACTTGCACTGAGCACCACAAAGATAAACTTGCACTAAGGAAACAAGTAGCGTAGTCAAATCCAAAAAGTTGTTATACACAGTCTTGTCAGTAGTGGGATAGCTGCCTTGCTGTCTTTTCCGGTCCGGTAGACTAGGATCTGTCCCATTTTGAAGCTGCATCACTGTGCAGCCGGGAACATGAAATGCAAAGCACCAGCAGGCCTAGTGGGTACGGCAACTCGATGGAAGAGTGCTCAGCTCCCTGGCCTGGGATTTTATACTACTTATTGGTAACTTGGGAATAGAAGCTCAAACTGGCATCTGCCGGAACGCCTGACCCTCCCTTATTTTCTCTGTGGCCCCAGGAATCTTGAATTTCTGGTTGTTTTCAACAGAAGAGGCTTGAGGCTCCCGAAGTGAACCAATGGCTGCTGGGAAGGGAGAGCTGTGAATTCAGGCTCTGAGGCTTGAGCATGAAACCTAAGTTTTCTGTGACCGGCCTGGACAACTTCTTTAAGCAATCCGTTATTAGATGAAAGATCTTCTGCCAGCCTCTTCAAAGGGAAGAGTGAGCCGTTTGTCTTAACTGGGCGAAGCTAGTTGGTGCCTGAGTCAAAGGAGAAGGAGGGTGTTCTGCCTGGGAACCCGTTTCACGGAGACACACACCTTAGTGTTTCAGCTGGTATCTCAGCTCAGAGACAGAGCTGCAGACCCCTTTCCTTAGTGTTTTTGGCTGATCACGAATGCACTCCACACCCCTTTTTCTCTGCCCCGTGCAGCATCCTTGCTGCTGTGAATCCCTTAAGGTAAGTACTTACCTTTACCTCCTTCTGGGTGCTTAGTGAAGCAGTGTAAATTCTGTTCCTGGAGTCAAAGGCTTAACTTTCAGCCCCCAGGTGGCTTCGAAAATATCGTTTTTAATCTTCTCATGCCTCTTTTCACATCCTGTTTAGAGATGGGATGGTTTAGCTTTGCCCATGTAAGAGGGATAATATAGCACATTGCTGTGATGTTTTGTAACATCTTAAGTTCTAGACAAATGTAAAGTATTGCTATTCCTGTTCACAAATATTTTGATGGTAGAGTTTGTATGTGACCCGGAGAGAACATAGGCAGTAAACCCCGCCACACTGCCGTTAATGTTGTATAGTATAGTTTTGATATAGTGGGTGTCTCTGACTGCCGTTTGTTGTTGAGAAGAGCATGTAATAGGCACTGACTCCTGAAAGGAGTTGAGCACCTTAAATGCATGTGAAAAATCCTACTACAGGATCTGTATATCTCCCTAGGCTCCATAAAACCTTTTAATATTTGGCCATAAAAATCTTCCTTGAACGTGTAGGTGGGGCAAAAAGACCCTTAATGCGCTAGATCCGTACCCCATCAGAGTCTGCAGTAAACTGAAGCCAAGGAAGTGATTATGGCAAGATTTAATATATGCATTTTCAGCCTCTTTTACAGCTTTTTGTGTGATGCCTTGGTGCCTAATGTTACTGTTGCTGCATTGCAATTAACATCAGTTGATGGTTTTACCCCATGGCCACCGATGAAATCCTAGTGAAGCAGCAGTTGCTCGGTGAGCTGGACAAAGTATTTCCCCTTTCCCATAAGCTACAGCATTTTTGTAATTCATTCTGCCAAAAGAAAACTATGTTTGCTCTGTTGTTGCACTCGGATTTGTTTTGATTGCAAAGAAAACCTGTTTTTCTTCTCTTCGTTTCCTCTCTAGTCCCATACCATCTAGCGTTCATGGAGATTTTAAACCGTTTGTGTTATGTTCAAAGGAAAGAGAAGCATTTAGAGCTTTTAAAAAGGAAAGGCACTCCTGCCCCCTCCCCCTTCTAGCTTGGAGGACTATTTGAAATCCCTGGATCTTCAGGCATTCATCGGGAGTAGTGAAAACTGAGTACAGAAGAGTTTACCATGTGTGCTTGCTTTCAGCTGAGGCCTGTGAACTGTTGTCCTGCCCCTCTGCATGGACAGCTAAGAGACAGAGCAGGGTTTATTTTGATGGGAGGATGTTCTGTGTCATTTCGGACAGGATTTATCCTCGTTGCTGGTGCAAGGCTGCCCTCTCGTGTCAGGAGTTTCATATGTGTTCAGTCTGTTTTGTGCCCTGCAGCTAATGGAGTATAATCGTTTGCTCCACTGAGCCTGGAGAAGGCAGTAAATGTATTGAATGATCAGAAGTGTTCGTGTGCGTACAGGGTTCTGCTGATTCGCACAACAGCTTCCTTCTATACCTTGTATAATGTTTGGATTAAAGGAACGCTATTAAAAAAATTTAAATATGAACCCTGTTCATTGATTTTTCTCTTTCTTTCTCCCGTAGCCATGACTGTCCGGAACGGAGGAAATGTACTGGTTCCTTGTTACCCCTCAGGAGTAATATACGATTTGCTGGAGTGCCTGTATCAGTATATTGACTCTGCCGGACTCTCCAATGTCCCTTTTTATTTCATCTCACCTGTTGCCAACAGCTCCCTCGAGTTCTCCCAGATCTTTGCTGAATGGTAGGTGTTAATGAGCTGCTTCATCAGGCTGAATTCACCCATCTAACTATGGTACATAGGTATATGCAGGTTACATCTACTTGACATATTCTAGTATATACTTGATTGGAATTGAGAACACGTTTCTTGAGTCACAAGCTTGTGCGTCTGTGCGTAAGTAGATGTTCTATAATTAGGGAAGCGTCGTTTCCTGTAGAACATACACTGAACGTGTTTACAAACTCAAATAGTCTGTACTTTTTGGTACTAGCACTGATGACTAAATGATGTACCTGACTTGAGTGACTTTTAGATATGCCTGCTTGCAAGTCTCATCCAGTGTCCCCAAAACTTTACTGTGGTCTCCTTATTTAGGCAAAACAGATTTTTCAGACTTTTAATTTACTGAGTCATGGAAAGGGGAACCTGACCACTTGCGATTGTTCCTAACTTCTTAGATACCAAGAGAGGCTATAGATAATTAAACAGAGTAAATTAGCTTTGCCTCCCTTTCTTCCTTTCCAGATTTTTTAATCTGAAATTCAAACAAGGGAAA